TTTATCAGCCTTTCAAATCTGTTTACTTGGAACAGTGTCTGTTACACAGAGCTAGAACAATTGAAATAATCAATGTTATTTTACACCAGAAGTATAAAACTGGACATTAAAACCAGTTTGGTTAAAACTTTATCTGTGATTTCTAATGAAGCCTGAAAACTTGCATGTTTCAGTACACACCTGCTGGCAACAGTTATCAGATTGTGCTCTATACTTGTAGTCAAAACTATTTTCTGGTAGGTACAGTGGTCCTAACAGCAGTTGATTTTCACTCTTGACATCAAAGAAGTGACTATTCAAATGGGGTCTTTGATCTTTACCTCCTTGAAACTAGCACCAGTTTTGTTAAATCCTAGGCACACTGCCAAATGCTGATGAGCAGCAGAGTGTATGGGATGAAATGTAGGAAATCTATTACCCCTTTGTGAAAATTCCATAAATTTTCATGAGAGGTCTTGAAAGCTCTGCCACCATTCAGCAAGAACACATTATTCAGCTGATGGCAATGCTAATTCTCAATCTACTTTGTGCTTATGTGCAACAGATTTTGTGCACGTGCTGATCACAAACAAATGTGATGTGTTGAAACTATGTTCCATTTGGCAAGCCAGTAATTTTATTAAAATAATAGTTTTGTCATTGCAGGCCATACCAAATTGATGTTGACAAGGCACAATTATATTGCAGATGCACGTGCTTTGTTACTACCTGACAGCTTAGAGTTCTGCTATCATATGTAAATCACTGACTGAGCTTTAGCATTGCTGGGGTTGAAACTCGTGTCATATTCTCTCAAACTACAAGTCACCTGTTGGATTTGTTAAAAAACAAAGTCCCCTGATATTTTCAGGTCTTCCTGTATTACTGTTTCTTTCTGCCATTCTACAGTTTTGTTGCAATTGGAGAGGATTTTTTTATTATTATTATTAGTAAGAACATTATAGGATTGTTGTTCAACAGCATGAACACTTTATGTAGGGTTGTGTATATCATGGGGGAAGGGGGAAGAAAAGCAGTCTTTATCATCGCAGCTCAAGTGAGCATTCCACTAATATCCTCAGTAAATCCATATGTTAATTTTTAAACACCTTGGAGCAAAGACCAGCCTGGTGTTCTAATGGGCAGGATTCTGCCCACTGATCAAATTAATAGGATACAAACTAAATTTAGACCTGCTGTAATTGGAAGCAAAACTACTGATAGAAATGGATTTTTGTGGATTTAGGTAAGTACACGTAATTGTTTCTTTGTTGCACTTCATTCATTCATGCTTTGCTTAGCCCATTCCTAGTATTAGCAAAGTTGCATCCATTGCCCTACATGTAAATCAAACCACAGTTTCTGCATCAGATTTTAGCAAAACTCAACAGTGACTTGAGTGCCTGCTCGTAGGGAAGGACGCTGCGTATAACATTTATATTTGCTAATTAAAAGAATGGGCAGCCAAGTTCAGATCAGGTATCTAAGCAGCATGGGTCTTAATGTGAATGAGTCCAAGTCATCAAACAGATTGAGAGGCAGAACAGGTGGTAGTCACAAGGGGAGGTCAGAGGGGAGTATACGATTGAGCAGCTGGGCACTTTGGATTAAATTTTTGATTACTGAAAATTCCTCATCCTTTGTTGTTAAGTCCCTATCGTGTTTTAGCTCTACAACAGAAAAGAACAGCAATGCTAACTGTCATCATTGTTACAGCACAAGTAAGAGCCAAGTCTCAAGGAGAGGCTCTGTGCTTGGCCAGGCTTTGATCTCTTGCTCTTCCCTGACTGCTCTGAATGACAACTGATGCTAGTATTTTACATCTTCAGAGTCCATTTGCAAGAATGAATGCAAATGAGTAACACTATTTATAGAAAGAGAATGAATTTTAGGTTAAATTATTTGAATTAACAAGTCTTTACATGAACTTCTTAGCAGAATTATCCCATTATCTTAATTGCATCTGACATACAGATTACTATATTTAGATAGCACACTACAAAGATTTAGTTCAAATTCTGAAGTATTTTTAGCACAGTGTCTCCTGTGTTCTTTCAAAGCCATAAAAAAAAACCCCACACTTTTTTACTGGTGCTGAGAATGGACAGTCTTCAACAATATAGCAGAAGAGGGTTTAGTTCTCTGTAAATGTATACATGCTTAAGAAGAGCTGACTGATAGTCAAGGAGCCCTAGAAAAAGAAATGAGCCCTTCCAGATCCCACCCGAACAAGTGGTACAGAAATGGGACAGATGGCTGTACCAACAGCATGAACTCTCCAGTTGCCTTTAAAGATAAAAGCACGTACTTGTGAAGGCACAGTAAGAAGTTGTTCACATCATGTGGGAACGCTTTTTGAGTCTTATGGCATAACAAATGAAATGTGCATTCTGAAAGTAACCTTAATTTATTTTGCTATGCAGATTCCTGGGCAGTAATTTACGTATAATACCAGTTCATAATACTGCTGAAACAGTTAAGTTAATGCTAACTATAGCTAAGGTAAGTCTGGTTGCATATACTTGAAAACATTAGTTCTTCAGAAGCATGTTAGTCAGGAAGAGCCAAGAACTATAAAATGTGTCTTTTTCCTTAATGGAACTTTTTGGGTCATATTGACCACGACCCATGTAAAACAGTGAAATAGGACTGTTACTCTGATGCTTTAGCTGAGTCTTTAAACTAAAAGTTAAAGGTAACTTTAAAAGCTCTTAATAGCATCTATGAAGACAAATTAGACATTGAAGAGCTAATTCAGCTCTTATTGACTACTGTTAAGTTAGGGTATCTTCACTTTATTTATTAGTACAGAACCAGCATGAAATTGAAATATGTAATGACTTCAACTTAAAGTAAAAATGCTGAAAACTCTAGTTACTTGTGGATTTTTAATGATGTACATACATAATGATGCATATTATTTCGACAGCTTAGAGTGTAATTTATCTATCTGTGTATCTGCACTGCATCCTGTATGCATCAACACATTATTAATTAAATCTATTTACTTTAATGCTCTTTAAAGAACATTTTTCCATGAAAATTCTAACTCAAGATACTAACTGTAACAGTACTAGCAGCATCCCAGGTACCAAAAGTAAAAAAGTAGGTTGAATGACACGTTAGGAATCAAGTATGAATTTACATTTCATCCTTTCCTGAAGTAGGCATCTCAAAATAATAAGTATTAACCTATTCAGAGTATTCATAATTTTAAAAATGTGTAAGCTACATCTCAGTACATGGCAAAAGTTGTTAAATATTTATTGTACTTAAACTTTTTATGGAATCTACTGATGACTGGCCCAGTCTCTTAATACAGCATTAACCTGAAAGCTTTTAAGATTACTGCTGATCCTATAAACTTAAATTTGCTTTTCTACGTGTTCAGAACATTTACACTGAACCTCAACAGGAGGGCCCCATACGAAGTGATGATAGTATATACCAAAACTCTGTTGGTTGCCATGATGTTTTTTCTTACTGATGCATTGCAAAGCCTGTTTAATGAGCTCATCTTTTGCCAGAGAATCCCAAACTGCTATAAGGCCTAAAAACCAAACTTTTTTGCCCCAGGTTAACAGACAGGGCTAAGGGAGCAATACTATCTGACTAATCCCGAGCTCCCATACCTGACTCCTGTTGAAATACTATCCAGATAATCAGATGCAATGCTGGTTATTTTAGGACTGGTCTTGGACCTAAAGGGATACACCAGTCACCTCTGTGTACCTCATTCCTGAATATCTACTTTAGAAAATGTGATTCAAACTTCACTGTTGAGTCATTTTACATTTGTACTATTTGAAAAATAAGATGTTGAATATTCTATTACCTAAGAGTTACTGTGTCCTACTCATAAAATTCTTCTTTCCTCTAAGATAACTTCCAAGCCACGAGCAGATGATATTCGTTACAAAATGGCAATGATAAAAGCACAAATAATAGAAAACAGTCCAGTTTGGAAGATGCTTCATGAGTACCAGTTGCATTGTAATTAATTTAGTATTTGGGGTTTTATTCATAAATAGAGTGGCTACATTTTAAACAAAATATAGAATGTTCTTAAAAACATAGTTACATTTCAAAAGACTGTATATACAACTTGTGCATTTGGAATGAAAATTTATATTAAATAACTGTACACTGAAAAATAGCATACATTATAGCAAATCTGCATTCTAAGAAAAACAAAGTAGTTTAACTGCACTGTAGAAAAGCCATCCTTATTTTTAACTTGATTCTGAACTTATGAGCTCATCTGTTTACAATAATTTCCCAAAATATTAAATATATCTTAAGGAAAACTTTATCATTAAAGATAAGGATGATGAAGACAAGTCCAAAATATAGGTTTCCTATGCATAAACAGATATATGTATGAAATCTTGTGCAGTGTGTTTTTTAAACACAAATGTTATCTGTTGTGTTACTAAGTTTTAACATATTTGGCTCAAAGTTGATGTGTTTTTTCTTTAAACCTGGTTTCCTTTGCCACGGTGTTTCCACTATTATCTGTCTATACTTCACAGTCCTGTTTGTAAATATAGGTGCTTGTTTATCGATATTAAAAAGTGCTAATAAAAAAACCTTGTGCTTAAACAGTGCTTTTTAATTAATGGTTCTCCAGTCACTTTATAAAAATCTTTGTAATTCACAACACCAGTCAGCAACTATTTTCTAACAAATTCTGAAAATTAACAGAAAAATAAATGTACAAGCATAGCTCCTTGTCACAGCATAGGAACAAAGAAATCCCCTTGGTTTTAGTTTAGAAACTAAAAACCCCATCAAATTCTGAAGAGGAGTGCTTTAGTAAATAGGCCATCTCTGTGAATCGCATACAACAGCAAAAGAAGAAAATAAAAAGAACAGCAACAAGACATGGAAAGCAGCATTTGCAGTTCTTCTAGAGGCCACTCTAAATTGCTCCTTAAAGGGTGGTAGCCTCCTTTTCAACTAAAGTCTCATAGTCAAAATGATCTTGTAAGAAGTATATGAATTCAAATACTTCAGCTGACCTAGCTATTTTCATCCATTACAGCTTTTATTTTCGCTTCAATGAGTTCTTCTACTCGAGCTAGAACACTTTCTATTAAATCAAATGTGAAGAGAGCCGAGTGTAAAACCTGAAATGACAAAAGAGATTAATGTTATTTTTATTAAAGATTTTTTTCCCCACTGTACATTTGTCTCCAGATCGAAAAGAAAACTTCAATCCTTTCTGAAGGAAATGCAAACTCACCTGAAGCTGCATTTCAGTGGTCATGGCGGGCATCTTTTCCCCACTAACAGTTACTGAACAAACTGTGTTAGAACTGTGTGCCTCTGTAGAAGAAAATAACCAACCAGAGATCATGCTGCTTCACAAAACTTAGAATGAAAAGGGTATTTAATATATTAGCATTTCTAGGCAGTAATTGTTAAAAGACACAGACCTAGGGATTGACTAAACACAGGACAGAAGGCGCTGGACCTTAAGAGGGAGATAGTTTGAGCTGGATGGTATCTTGACACTTACTTTCTCTAATACATATGACTACGTTACTAAACAGGCAATATCTGCAACTCAAAACAACTGTATAAGCAGTATTTTAGCTATATAAAAGTTAGAAAGAAAATTTAAATCTGGTCAGTTTTAGATATATTTTTAATATTTCCACATCCAGAGAGATAGTAGGAGGTTCTTTAGCTTGACTTAATGAATCCAGACATGAAATACTTATTTTTTTAAAAGGCTGCAGGCTTCTCTGTTTCAGACAGATTACTTGCAGCAGGCAAAACTACAAAGACAAGTCTGAAAACTAAGGGGGAAAACCGTCTTACGTTCAGACCACATATTTGAAATTCAACATAATGCTCACAAAGATTATACGTTGGGGAAAAAGGCTAAACCATTTACAGTTACCAGTTAGTTATATGTTCTCTCCCAAACTCAAGTCTCTTCATGCTTTGACAAAAAGGCTAGAGACATGGAACAGGGACTTACTTAAAGAAAAAGCTTCCTGATTAATTTTAAAGGATTCCCTTTACAAAGATATCCACAGGTTGCCTGCACACACACAAAAAAACCCAAACCTTCTCTGCCTCATCCTTATATAGTTTACAACAACAGAAGAGGGTAAGACTAGGGGCAAAAAGCCGGTCTGACATTTTTGGTAGCAGAAGCAAGTTCCTTGGGCTGTCTTAATTATACCGGAGACCACAAAGTAACAGAGGATCTGACATACACAGAGATCGCCTAAAGCAGCTACAGCTCTTATGCCCTGCAGAATGTGTCTGCTTAACCCAGAGCAGAATCTGATTCTGTGTGTCAGATTAAAAAAAAAAAAAAAAAAGAAAATACAGAATGTAATCCTTCAGGCTTTAAGACAGCACCTATTTGCTGTGTGAATTATTTCTTCTCTTGTTAACCTCCTCACACCTGGTATGAAACCTAAGGGCTATATATTCAGAGAGACTGAGATGCTTCTGTCCAGCCTTAAAATCAAAACTATAAACAGAGAACAAGCTTTGAAGGTCTTCATGTGACATTTCTATCAGTTTTCCATAAGGTTTACAAATGTGATGAGAGATAAACAAGTTCAGATTTTTCTGACCAATTATGAAAACTATTAATATCAAATATAGCAACTACTGAATTATTATTTGAAATTTGGAATAGTCTCAACAGTTAAATAAAACATGATCTATACAGCACTCACCAATTCTTTGTTTCCAAAGAATTTCCAAAGTTTCTAAATATGAACAAAGCTAAGAAAAAAAGAAAACAACTAACCTCTTCTGTTTTCTTTCTTACTCTTTATTTCTGCTTCATAGTGAGCTTTTGACATATTGAGTCCTACATGCAGTGGTTTTAAGAAATTTTGCTCAATCTTGGCAAGTGCTGTCCATACACCAGTCTATTCAAACAGAACAGAGAAGGTTACAAATTAGTTTTAATGAAGCATTGCAATGTTAAGTTTTTGAGCATAAGTTTTTGGACTAGTGTTTCTAACTTACACTTCTGTGCTGGGAGGAAAAAAAAAAAAAAGAACATAGACTCATCTTTGCAAGCATGAATAGCAGCATGATGGATGTTGACGTTCCTCTCCCTCTCTCTTACGTTATTTGTTGAAAATTGGATGAAGCAGTCAAAAAACCAAAAAAGTGGGGAGGGGAAGCAAACTTAGTATGTAAGCTAGTAACTACAGCAATGGAAACACACATTTTCAACTTGTTCTTGTAAACAAAGCTAAAAGAATCTTGATATGTTGGAGGGGGGTACTAGCCACTTTCTCAGGCTAGAATCTACAGTGAGTGAACAGCAGTTGTAGATTCCTCAGAAATAATTCAGCAGCAAAATGGTACAAATGTTTAAATTCATGTTCCTGAATTAACACTGTATTGCAATGCCAAGTGAAAGCTCTGATAAATGTTTTGCCCCCCAAAATATAAGGATCTTGTCTATATTGCATTCAGTTTAAAAAGCATCGTAGGAATGTTACTGGATACACTACTACCCCATCCTTAGGCACAGTAGCCAAAGTGACCATGAACTTCTCCCCAATTTGGCATGGGTGAAAGGAGGAGTTTACAACAATGGTGCTCAGGAAGCAGGAGATACAAGGAAAAGATGCTGAAAAGCAAGGCTGTTCAAGGTTACACAGAGGAAAACTTCTCTGCCTTGGCACCTTGTAAGCTTGTAGTTAAAAAAACTGCTGTAGAAGGATACAAATACAGAGCAGTCTTTGTGTCTTTAGATACAGGAGCCATTTATGAGATGCCTTTCTTCAGGCAGTATCCTCAAAGGGCAGAGTAAGGACGATAAAAATAAAAATTCTCAATGTTAACCAGTATTGTTGATTACAGTGGAACAAAATCACCAAATTTTAATGCTAAATGGCACAAAGTTAACTGGTCAAATAAGAAAACTGGTAATTACTTCCACCAGAATGAGGCTAAAAATGAAGACATAATTTTCCAGAAAAATACTGATTTTTAAGCTTGATTAATGAAAGTGTTTGTTACACAGCAATCAAAACATCAGAACTGACATGAAAGGAGGCATTTTCTCTCTGCACTATATGGAGGGAGATGGGGAGGAAGGCAAGAACTGGCAGGGCTTAAATTTCAGGGAAAACTTCAGAAGAGAGGGTGCTATTTTCGCTTCAAACTGTAGACACGTTCTTTATGCCAGGTACTAGACAGGGCTGTTACAGCAATTGTGTGCTACTGTGTATCAATTTTTAATTATAATAAAAGAGGAATTATCACTTTTCTTACAAAGCTATGCATTTACATGAAACTGAGTGGACCATACTGAGCACTTAAATAGTAATCACTCCTTAATTCTGAGAAATGGATACAGTCTATCAATACTAACTAATTTCATAAATAGTAAATTAGAAATGCACCAATGGAAAGTTATTTTTACTATTCATTTTCATTACGGTTTTGGTAATCGGTGCAAGCTATATTATTATTATTATTATACTTAGACTAATAACATCATTAGGCACTTATAAAACCTGTACTCCTCGATCTCAAATTGCTCTTAAATGTAGATGAGAATTTCTTCTGTATTTTAGAAAACGACATGCTGAAATCCAATACTCCAAATCATAAAGAAAGTCAAGGAACTAGAGAAGAGTAACAAAACACCTTAGGATACATATCTGCTGGTTAGAATATTCATCTGACCATGATATTGCTCATTCAAGTCAGGAAGGGCTTCACTGTACTTTAAAACTGGAAAGCAATTTTTCTTGAAACTGTCACTAATTTAAACAAATATTTTAATGCAAAAATCAAAACATTTAGTACTAAAGAGATAGGTGATACTCATTCGCTACATGATATAGTGGATAAAAAGCTCCTGAATTGCAAAAATTAGAGGAATGGTGAAACATAACAATTTGAAAGAGTTAGCAGAAGTTGCATTTACTACTGGAATAAGTAGACATTTGGTAGTGGGATGTAACTGGAAAACTAAACACAAATAATTCCATTGGCTCTTTAATGCTGTAGTGACACAATCCAAGTCAGAGCACTTCTAAATCAGCTGCTAGAATATGGAATCCATATATTGACCCAGTTGTGAAATTCAAACAAGTTTCCTCTAGAGTATCCAAGAACACATTTCCATCAACTGCAAGTGGATAGGACTGACTGTACACAAAACCAGCAGATCCATTATAATATCCTACATTGAAAAGCCATGCAGCAGTTGAATAACAAATAATTTGCACTGATCTACCAGTAACAAATGCTGCTGACTGCTTCAGACAGAAGAGCGCTAAACAAAACAGAGAAGAAAGAGGTGGGGATTACAACTAAAGCTGCAAAATCCTGCTTTATTCTTCGGTAGCATAATATTATATGGTTAAAACACATAAGGGTAGTTTCAATTTTTGAAATATACTGCAAAGTTTAAATATGTAGAGTATTTCTAAAACATCTACAAACATCCACACACAGGAGAAATGAAGGCAAAGAGGTACATGTATAATAGAAACACAGGTAAACTACAGTGGTGGGCAGTTTCGACTGCAAGTTACCTTTGTGCATAAAACATTCTAGATTGCATCCAGTAAAGTAATATAGCAGAAAACTGGATAGGTCTGGCCATTCTTTTTGTTACTTCAGCAGATCAATCTTACAGACAAGAATTTTTCTGACGCTAATACCTAGAGAAGCTTTTAACATGCAACTATCATGCAGCTGCACAGTTCCTGTAAATATAGAATACTGTTTTCCACAACTAAAACTATTTAAATATGATTATTAAATACTTTCTGAGAAATCATAATACTATTAACTTTTAGTATATCGCACAAAAAAGTATTTTCCCTAAAGATGAATAAAATGAATCTTGAACTGCAAAGGTTTGTATTGGTATTATAAAGAAATCCACTTGGAGACTTGAGGGATACCACCGAATAAATAAGAAAGAGTAACAAATATTTTTTCTCATGGGAATACTTGATAGAGATGTTATTTTATGGTGACATACTCTGAAATTATGGACATAGACCACAGTTTATCAGGCAGACTAAAAGGATTAGCTTCTTTAGTACAAATACAACCAAGTTTCATCAGAATAAAATAACACATCACATATCTCCTAATGCAGTTAATAAAAACATCACTTCTGGATTACTGACCATTGCAAAGAAAAATGCAAAAACCATGTTTCTGAATCAAGGATAACAGTGTTCATATGAATCCAGCTCTCAGCCCTTAGCTAATCAATCATTTTCAAATCAGTTAGTACTCACTTGATTATCACTTTCACAATCCTTAATGACCAAGTATCTCAGTAGATTTAGTGATGCCATAATCCTGTGAATTAAAAATACACTATTATTTAGAACACAGATTTGTATTACAGGAATAATAATTTAAATTGTCCGTTAGCCAGATATCCTAAAATATCCATTTATACAAAACGCAACCATTCACCTGTTGAGTAACATAGCTTAGTCTAGAGCACCAGCGGTAACGTCCACGGTACAACAGCTGAGACTTTGCAAGTAAGATTAAAACTGTCAGCTGACTGGAGACGGCTGGTGATTGTGAAGGAAAGAGTTCTCTGAAGAGATAAAACCTTATTACAGAATTTGTAATGTGCATCACTGATGATCCAAAGCTGATATCAAACTAGAGTGAGAGTTTTCTTTATTACCCTATTGAATTTTTACTTTTAAGTGCTTTTGAAAAATATGCTTTTTGCTTTTGTTTTACGATACTTTTTAGCAGAAACTATTTATTGCTTTTTCGAGATAAACAGTACAATTACAGGTCACTCATCTGGGTTTTTAAGTAGTTATGTGTCCATCTGGACACTATCACCCTACTGACTTACTAGCCCAACCTTTACTCATCATACAGAAAGAGACTCATCCTATACAGGAGATTTTCAGAGACATTTCCAGTTATTTTTATATTACTTAATGCCAAGTATTTGCTGTTTAGGTGACTCTGTATTCCTACTCATGAGATACTGGATTCCAAGCAGCAATCTGTGAAACAGCCTCAAAAAGGCTGTGTGCTCTAAGTTGTACCTGATGACTGTTATTCCCCTGTGTCACATAACACAACATACCACATTTCTTTTGTTCCTCCAATTGCTTCTGCAAAAAGCTGACAAACCATACAGTCCTGAAGAAATAACACTTTACCAATTCGTTCTGTAATTTAACATCTGAGGCCTTATATCCTCATGGAATGGAGGAGGAATTCCTTTCTTATTGTTAAAAAAATCACTGTAATAGCATTGTGACATTCTTCTGTACAGAGTTAAAAAGTTACAGAGAAATAAGCGATCATTTCCATTTCCAGTTCCAAAAATTTAACCTACATCGATGCTGTCACCTCATTAATTATATGACAGCATACCTCCCACGGTAGTAAGGTAGTAAAAAGGAGAAAAGCCTCTAACTGTGATTACCACTCACCTATCTGAGTTTTGCAAAAGATCTGTCTCAGCACCTTCTGGAAGCAAAAGTACTAAATCTAGAAGGGAGATCAGGTGATGTCCTGTAAACCAAATGTCACATGCCTTCTGAAAAAACGATACAAAAAGTTTAGCTGAGTGCAAAATTTAAATCTTAAAGATATCTTAAATCTTAAATAATTTAACAACAATTTTGGAAAAACAGAAAAGAAAAAAAATCAAACACTGGAAGAAATCTTTTCTAATTACTACATGTGATTGAAGTATACAAACTAGTCTTTTCATAATCCTCCCTACTTTGTCTCTCCAAGCCAATCTTTCTTTTCAGTTTCATCAAATAGATTCTCCACCTCTTCACCATACCACCATCAATATAGTTAATATTTGTTTACGTAAACTTAGCAAATTGTACTAGGCACTCTCCTTTTTTATACTGAGGTATGGAACAATTAGCTATCTTTACCAGAGACTCTATTCATTTCATAATAGTAGTGTCACAATTTTTTTTTTTACAGATGATCAGGTGTTTTTTAAGTTTTCTCTGCATATTTCTAAACCCACAATTCCTAGCAATGCTTGCAAGTAAAGTACACCTTCACCTCTGTGGTTCTTTGATGGAGGAAGGACATTCAGTTACTTTCTTTTCAAAGAGGGAGAGGACAGAAGAGAGAATCATTTCAGCATAAGATGGAGAGTACTAGGTTTTGAAGTGGCAGAATGTAATTATTCTGATGCCCTCTGCACCACAGACAGACCACTTGCAATTTTCACAAAAATTCCCCTAAATTACAACTAATTATGAAGCAAGGAAGGGCAAAACAACAAAACCCCACCTCTTTCACCTGCTTAGCAGAAGTTTTTTGAAGCCTTGCAGCTAAGACCCCTGAAAATTCCCTCCTCAGTGAGGATGGTTAAGCCTCCCTGCACTGGTGCCAACTCAAGGGTGTTCACATCATTCCCAAACAGCAAGTGAGCACACGTCTCTCAAAGTTCCACGGCCTCTTCAAAAGGCTATTTCACATCAGTACAACAAAGCTCAGAGCACAGAGTTGTTGCGAAGATCCCGTGTTGGCAAAGTCCTTATCTCAGGTAAAGGTGGGGAACGTTGGGGGAAGAGATATCATACAAAAGAGAGGAAACTGAGAAAAAGCCAGAAATGGATTGGAAGGAAAACTGAGATTAGATAAGGAGACGAGAAGGCTGTCTCTTAAATCAGATCAGATGAGGGACCTGGAAAGATTAAGACTAGCTAGGCACAAAAACTAAGGTGAAATATATGGATAGCAATAGCAAATTGTTATTGTTACGTCTATAGCACATTTGTTTTGCAACAAACCTAGAATATTCAAATTCCTATGATGAAATTTTAAAATTATTTCTCTTTTTGACAGCCAGGGTACTCTACACAGAAGAAATGTATTAAGAGAATTCTGAAGCTGCATAGTCAAAAAATTAATTGGTAAGGAAATTTCAGAATGTACTTTTACCTATTCAATTTTAGTGCAAGCCCCTTTTGGAACAGCTTTCATATTATCATCTTCTTCACCCCTGCTGATTCAATATACAGGACAGACTGTGATCTAATAAATAGTAATTCACAGTTTTCTAACATAATTATGCTAGCATAAAATATGCATGAATCTACTATATTGTCCTATTTGACAAAAGACAGTATCCTTGAGAATCAAATTTGGTTTGGAAAAGGCCCTAAGCAGCTTAAAAAAAAAGGATAAAAAAAGTTAATAATTTATTTTTAATTAATTTTTCCAACTTCCTGGTATAAATTATAATAAAATATGAGATTTAAATGGCTTTGATCTAGCTCAACCCTTTCTGATGAATTTAACGTTCATGAAGCACTCATAATATAATGCTGTCATCATAAAAACCAAGAAAATTCTGTCTGGACCGTAGCATTTGAATTAGATTCAAGAAATGAGGAACTGTGAGGATAAAACAAAATACTGAGTAGTTCCTCTTTAAGAAAGAAACATGTCTTTTGAAGCACAGAAAAGGTAATAACTTCTTAGAAAAGTACAATAAAATTGTGCAATTAAGACATACATTTGTAAAATAATAATGTAAAAATACATATGCAGGAAAAAGCCAAATTAATATATTTAATTATTTAATTTCCCAATCATATGTTTCTTTTCAAAGAAAAATCCATCACTCAAAGGTTAAGCTGTACACATTTTCTCAACATAATGCTGATAGAATTTTGAGATGGCAACTTTTTTTTTTTTAGTGTTAATAGCCTCACCGTTAACGATAAGTGAACCTGATCTTTTATATTTTTAATAATGTATCCTTCCACACCAGCATGGTTGCTTGTCTTCAGTAAACACCTTTAAACAAACAAAAAAAGAAAGATATTATCTCTTCAAAGCTGCCTAGATAGTTAGCTCAAAATTCAGTGAATAAGGCCATAATGTCAGCTAAGTGGGAGTTTTACTACAGAAAAATACGATGACTGTGTAACCTTTAAACACTAGCTTACATAAGACAGCTGATTTTGTGTGAGGCAACTGAAATTTATTATTTATCCAAAAATTAACATAGTAAAATTGATGTGGTTTACCAGATAAGAACTGTCAGAAATTATTGTACCTATGCAATTAAGCTGCAATAAGGCTGATGTTACACAATCTACAGTATTTTGGATGCATACCTGAATAATGTATATTTTCCCTCTGCATCAAACTTGTCTATGAACAACTGCAAAATATTTAAACTCTTCTTTCTCTAAAGGAAAAAAAAAAAGATGTTATCAGATTAATTCTAATTAAATAAATTCAGGCCTTAACTGATTCTGTAGAGGTCACATTACATACCAGATGCTCTATGGGACAAAGGGTCATAACTTTCACCAAATCCTGCAGACGGACAAAGAAAATACAATTTCTAATTACATACAATGATTACATTACATTACACTGATTAAAATCTACACAAGACGTTAAAAAACCAACCAACCAACAAAAAACCCCAAACCAAAATCAAAACCCCCCAACTCACAAAACCATGCCTGTAAGAAGATTCTCATCAGAGAAATTCACATTAGTTTCAGTGGTTGAACTCCCAGGGCTGACACACAAGAATACTACTCTCATACTGTTGGGTCCAAATAAGAATGTAGTCAAGCATCAGATTTGCAAGGAAGATGCAAAAATGAGCAAGCATCATCCCTGAGCTAAGATCAGTGCGCACCTGCCTCAGTGGCCTGTACATACACTAGTATATATTGTCACTGAAGCTTCATGCTGTAGCAGGTAGAAAAGACAATCAATTCTGCATAGCGAGACACAGAAGGTTTGAATTTAGCAACACAGTGTATAAAGGTTCAGTAGTATGTCCTCTCTCAAACACCTAGACAGCTAGATATTATTTATAATCAAACTTTAAAGGCTTCTGTACATTACTTCTTATTACCTGAGGTACGTTAATAAAATCTCTGAATTCTAAATACTGATGGAGAAGGCTGTTATCTTCCATTCTCAATAAACAGCTCTCAAACAGATCCTGCAGGTGGGGAAAAAAAACCAAAAACAAACTGCCAACATTTTGCACATATATGACATTAATCTATATGGTTAACATTTCATGGCTAAAACTGTCTTCACTATAAAAGCTCATTCACATATCCAAAGTTCCTAGGAGCTACGAATGTAAGTGATAATGGCACTTTAATGTTTCTGCATGTGTGTGTAAAATTCAGTAAATATAAGTGTTGGTAAAACTGAAGAATACCTAATTAAGCCTCAAAATATTCCTGAAGCTATTACCTGAACTATAATTTGTACCTTTCTTAGAAAGGGAAACTAAAAGTTTTACCATTACTTAAATTGGAAAAAAATAAACATGCTAACATTGAAAATTTGATTAAAAGAAAACTTACAAGTCCTTTAGATAACATAGATTCTTCTGTTCTAGAAAAAAAGAAACATTATCAAATTTGTTAATTAAAAAGACATTGTTGATATTCCAGAAGAAATACTAGAACAGAGATCAAAAATAACTTGTCCCTCAACAATTTTCGTTCTATTTTCTAAATATAATATCTTCACTATTCTTCTTGAAGATTTTTAGAATAAACTGGCTGATGGAAAGTTGAAAATTAGACTCCTCTGAGTCAAAAATGACTTTTTTTTCCCCTCAATATTTATAAATGCTCAAAAGCAGCACCTCAGATCTTGCAGGTATTAAGACACTGATTAACAAAGAAAATGAAACTTTTCCCAGATGATTCCATTTGCATAGTTCTGCAAGCCCAAGAAAAACACAGAAGATCCTAAACTGAAGAGACCAGGAAGTTTTGTTTAAATTTTACCAAGAAATGATAAGCAGTTATAATGGGAAACTTCCCTTCTGTAGCAGTGCTAGAAACTATTTGGTCAACACTGCTGCTTATGGAAGGTGAAACAATCACAATATATAGAAAAGTCTGGTTTCCTTTAGAAAGCCTGACCATTAATCAGATTGCGTATCATATCAGAATACATTCAAATAAATACTATCACAATAGTCTTCTCTAGTACTAAACTAATTGTTACAGAAGTACAAATAAATATACACTCTAATTATTCTGCGTGTGTTTAAAAGACCTTAATTTTGCATTTTCAGAATAAAGTTTCTAAGAATGCTATCATAATACAAGCTTAAAACAATCAATAAATATTTTCAACAACTTTTTATACTTCTTACTAAAAGAAGCTATCTTGTTGTGGAACTTGCCATTTTAACTCTCGGGTTTAAAAACGTCCTCTGAACTTACCTGGTACATTCGAAATTTGATTCTATGAATTACTACAAAAGATCACACCCACTATCTAGAACTCCAAAAACCAAGCACCCTACCTTTTCAGTAGCACTTCAATATGCATCATATTGCACTGCAGAAGGTATGATGGACTAAAAGAGAAAAATTAGGTTTACATTAAAATGCATAAGCCATATACATTTGCACAGTTACTATATTTGACAGGATTAGTCCTTTTTGAAAAAATGATAAAAAAATCTTTATGAAACTAAAAATTTTTGAAATAGACACAAAATAGTATGTCAAATTGCTGTTAATAACTCTTATGTAGAAACAGTCTCTAAACATGCAATTGAAAATACAATACATATTCATTTTCAGCATGTGACTAATCCTACCAGTTTCTTTAAAAGGATAGCTCACCTAAAATTAAGCCATAAGAGAGTAATCTGCAGAACTGGAGTATGTACTTATGTACATAATAGAAGCCATGTAAAATATAAATGCATAAAGGTTGACATAAAACAAATACTAGTGAAATACAGTTTTCCTTCATAACTACTCACAAATAGAAAGTTTTCTTCTGCTCAAAAAGAATCGTCAAAGTACAGACTAATTACAAGTGAGGAAGAATAGTTCTCACCTAAATACCACTGGAAAGCAATCAATACCAAAATGCTGAACAAACATCAGATATGACAGACATGCCAAAGAATCTGCAGCATTCTTTTGCTCTATGTCCGCAAACTCCTGATTCTCCCAGTGTGGACTTTTGCCTTTACGATGCAAAAACATTAATGGTATCAATTCTCTTATATCCCACAAAATGTCCTAGAAAAGAATGATAGATTGCATATAGTTGCCTTTAAAAGACCTGTACACCAATTAAGCTTTAACTGTATTTACAGTAAATTCTCTTACACAGCATATGTATAGGTTGATATAAATATTTTATGAGTATTTATGATATATACACATACAGAAAAAAGACCCTGCACGAAAAATAACTACTACTGGAAGAATGTTACCAAGATAGCAAAGTCAAGCACTCAAAAGTTAGCAAAAGAAAAATTAAGTCACCCTGCAAACCCCTCATTCGGCTCCCTTATCCACAATGCTATGAATAACGATAGCTTCATGATCACATTATGCCACAGGACCTCTGTGTTTTTCAGATCACAAGATACTCAGTATACTGTTTATTTTCTGCTCACTAATCCATATGCAACACAATGTTTACCTGCTAAAGGCAAACCATGCAGTTGCAGCAAAGTAGCAGCTGCTGATTCAGAGACCAGTCCAAACTGGTTTATCAAGGAGCAAAACTGTGTCTGCAAGATTTGTAATTTCCAGAGATGGGACCTGAAACTGTTCTGGACCTTCACCTACCTGCATTGCCTTACAAGGCCCAGTAAGTTACCCCACTAACCAATGAAGGAAGCAAAATGAGCTGTAGAACAAATTATAGGTAATTCTGAACTAGACCACTGGTTTTGCAAACACTGTAATAAATTTTGACTGCACTTACTACAATTTCAGTCGCAAAATGCCGAAAGGGATGTTCTTCAATGCCTTCAAGTTGTTCAAGCTGAGCTGTCAATAATGGGTATTTCAGGCTTTTCATACAGCTGAAATAAAAAGGGATGAAACTAAATCACCAATAAGGTCACAAATGCAGACTATAATGGTGTCATTGATGACCAAGAATAAAGTCTATACTCATATTATCTGCTGCTATTCCTGATATTTCAAGGAGAATTTAAAAAAAAAGAAAAAGGG